TTGACGACTACTCGCGTTACACCACAGTCTTCCCCTTGCACAGCAAGGGTGACGTCACTGAGGTGTTGATCAACTAGATCCGCGCAGCTCGTCTCCAGCTCAGGGAGAGTTCCAACTCGGACTTTCCTGTTCTGCGTCTGCACTCGGACTGAGGCGGGGAGTTTTCCTCTGCCCGTCTGGGAGCCTTCTGTCATGCACAGGGCATCCGCCAGACCTTCACGCTTCCGGCCTCTCCACAGCAAAATGGGATTGCTGAGCGCCGCATTGGCATGGTCATGGACGTCGCTCGTACGTCCATGATGCATGCGGCTGCCCCCCATTTTCTGTGGCCGTTTGCGGTTCAGTACGCCTCGCATCAGCTCAACCTTCAGCCCCGGGTCTCCTTGCCAGAGACCTCCCACACCTTGCGGTGGACGGGGAAGGTTGGCGATGCGTCTGCGTTTCGGGTCTGGGGATCTCGGGCGTTTGTCCGCGACTTGTCTGCGGACAAGCTGTCCCCCCGTGTTGTTCCCTGCGTCTTCCTTGGCTTCCCCCTTGATGCGCCTGGGTGGCAGTTTTACCACCCCATCTCACGCCGAATTTTGTCCTCCCAGGACGTCACCTTTGACGAGTCGGTGCCTTACTACCGTCTCTTCCCCTACCGCACTGCGCCCCTCCCCCCGCCGCCGCTCTTCCTTGCGCCAGGTCCTCCCCAGGTAGACCCCCTCCCCCCTCAGGGTCCTGCCCCGTCAGGTGTGTCCCAGGTAGACGCAGTCGAGCCTGTCGAGGTAGCAGTTGACTCTGCTGCTGCTAGAGGTGCTGAGCCTGCGGGTGCCGGGTCTGGAGGTGCTGAGTCTTGGGGTGCTGAGACTGGGGGTGCTGAGCCTGGGGGCACTGGGTCTGCTCGTGTGGCCGCCGGCGGTGCTTCGTCGAGGCGGGAGCCACTCTCTCCATAGGAGTTGCGCGAGTGGTTTGCTCGCCGCAGGAGTCGTGCTGCTGGAGCTAGAGGTACTACTGTTGCTGCTGGTCCCAAGGTGCTCGTACTGGCGGTATTGGAGCTGCTGGGACTGGGGGTGCTGCTGGGGCTGCTGGAGTTGGTCCTACTGGAGCTGCTGGCGGTACAGGAGCTGCCGGTCCTGCTGGAGTTGTTGCTCCTGCAGTTGCTGGAGCTGGAGCTGCTGGGGGTGTTGGCGTTGGTGTTTCTGCTGGCGCTGGTATGTCTCGGGGTGCTGGAGTTGGCGCTGTTGGAGCTGGAGGTGCTACTGGCACTGGTGCTGCCGCTGGGGGTACTGGTACTGTCCCTGCTGGTTCTGGAGGCGCTGCGGGCCCGCAGCCGTACTTCGTTCCGCTCCTTGAGCAAGTTCTTGGTCTCCCGCCCTCTACTGGTCCTGCTCCTCCCTTAGAGTGTCCACAGCCTGTCCAGTTGCAGCCACAGTTACAGCCCGCCTCCCCCCTACCTGCTCCTTCTCCCTACACTGGTCCTACTAGAGGTCTTGCTGAGCGTCGTGAGCCTGCGTCTCGTCCTGCGTCGCCAGCTCGTGCTGCTTGCACTAGTCGCCGTGCTCCGCGTCCGCGTCCTCCTGCGCTCCCAGGCACACACCAGATGGCACTGCGTCCTTCCACTGCTCCTCCGCATGTCCCGTTGCCGTCTCCTCCAGAGTCCTCTCTTCCTGTCCTTGCTGACCCGGAGTCTGACTCTCTTCGTGCTGCCAGTCCTACTGTCACGCGTCTCTTGGCCACTGTTGTCACTGACCCTTCCTTTGAGTCCACTGCTGCGTCGGCCCTAGTTGCTAAGCTTGTCGACTTTGCTGCTCGCTATCGTCTGGACTACGCTACTAGTCTTGTTGCTGAGTCTGAGTCTGTCTGTCCTCCGTCCATCTGGGGTGAGTGTGCTCTTAGCACGGACGTCCTTGAGGACAGGCAGGAGGAGTTCCAGGGCTTTGGTGCTGCTTTGCCCCATCTCGTGTCCACGCTAATTGCCCCTGAGGGAGACCCGGATGCACCAGACATCCCGACTCCTTGATCGTGCGCTAAGGCGATCGAGGGTCCCTACTCCTCTTAGTGGCAGTCGGCCATGGACGCAGAGATGGCTTCCTGGAAGTCCACAGGCACCTACGTCGACGAGGTTCCCCCACCTGGGGCGAACATCGTCAGTGGCATGTGGATTTTCAGGGTGAAGCGGCCGCCGGGTTCTCCGCCTGTCTTCAAGGCGCGTTACGTGGCTCGAGGCTTCAGTCAGCGGCAGGGAGTTGACTACTTTCAGACCTTCTCTCCCACCCCGAAGATGACCACTCTTCAGGTGCTGCTGCACATAGCCGCTCAGCGCGACTACGAGCTTCATTCTCTTGACTTCAGCACGGCTTTCCTGCAGGGCAGCCTGCACGAGGAGATCTGGCTGCGCCGCCCACCTGGCTTCACTAGGTCGTTTCCTTCTGGTACCCAGTGGAGCCTCCGGCGGCCAGTCTATGGTCTCTGCCAGGCGCCCCGTGAGTGGCACGACACACTGAGGACTACACTTGCGGCTCTTGGGTTTGCTCCTTCTACAGCCGACCCGTCGCTGTTTCTGCGCATCGACACCTCTTTGCCTCCGTTCTACATCCTCGTGTACGTCGACGACTTGGTCTTTGCCACTGCTGACACTGCTGGACTCGCCCACGTGAAGTCCGAGCTGCAGAAGAGACACATGTGCACAGACCTAGGTGAACTGCGCAGCTACCTTGGCTTGCAGATCACCCGGGACAGAGCACAGCGCACCATTACACTGAGTCAGTTACACATGGTGCAGCAGGTCCTTCAGCGCTTCGACTTCACGTACTCCTCGCCTCAGGCCACTCCTCTGTCTACTCGCCACTCGCTCTTAGCTCTGCCTTCGGATGAGTCGGTAGAGCCGAGTGGCCCGTAACCAGAGCTTGTTGGCTGCCTCATGTACCTGATGACCTGCACACGACCTGACCTTGCATACCCTCTTAGCATCCTGGCACGCTATGTTGCTCCTGGCAGACACAGGCCAGAGCACATGGGCGCAGCGAAGAGGGTGTTGCGCTACTTGTGCAGTACGTCGGGCATGGGGCTCGTGCTTGGAGGGCGACGTCGAGTGGTCCTCACAGGTCACGCAGACGCTTCTTGGGCTGACGACCAGGCTCTGCAGCGGTCGTCACAGGGTTACACCTTCAGCCTTGGCTCCGGCTCTGTTTCGTGGCGGTCTACCCGCTCGTCTTCTGTTCTCAGCTCCATCTGTGAGGCTGAGATCTACGCGGGGGCCATGGCTGCACAGGAGCTACGTTGGCTCACCTACCTGCTGACTGACCTAGGAGAGTCGCCTCGTTCTCCTCCAGTTCTGTACGTAGACAACAAGGCCATGCTGGCCTTGTGTCGGGAGCACAGACTGGAGCACAGAACGAAGCACATTGCTCTTCGCTACTTCCTTGCTCGTGAGCTGCAGCAGCGTGGTCAGCTGCGCCTTGCTTACGTGGCCTCTGAGGCCAACACTGTTGATATCTTTACCAAGGCACTTCCGCCTTGTGATCATCAGCGCTTCTGTACGATGCTAGGTCTTGTACCTACTTGGCCTCACTTGCTCATTTCTTGACCTTGCTTGTACTGTGATCTTTCTATACCTGCACTTGCTTGTTTGCCTTTATATATGATCTTGCATGTGAACTGGCCTTTTGGCCTTGCTGTTGTGCTCGGATTGTTTGGTGACATTGTGATCCACTTTGAGCTTGCTTTGCTTTGCTTGACTGGTCTTGTGACCTCTTGTTCTCCCCCACTTTGCCTATGGGGGTGTGTCAAACTCATATTATATAGCTTGTGTAGGCTATAGTGGGGTCGATACTATGGGGTACAGTTTCCTAGGGTTTCCTACTTGTACCCAACTTTGTGCTGGTTCATTTCATTCCTCAATTCTCATTAACATGACCACTTTTCGGAGTCACACTTGTGTAGTGCGACACGAGGTAACCGAATACGTCACGATCAACTCGCAGTGTTTCGTATAGGGGGTCTTGGGACATGTGCAAGAAGCGGTCCATCCAACGCGCTCGTTGAATACTTCGGTCTTTTCGCCAGAACACCTGGTAATCGCTCTCGTCAGCAAAGTCAAGGAGCAAGGGCACCATGACATCGACTGCAGCGACCAAGGGGATGAGCACAACGTGCGTGAGTCCGATTGCTAAACGTCGTGCCCATCTGGGTGTGAAAGGATCCTCCATGTTGGATAATGGCTAGAGTGTAGGGACGTTCCGGTTTTTGTATGCTCTCGTCACACTCAGTTCGGGTAGACGACACGATCTCGCCGAGCCGGGTTGTAAATGGAGCCGCAGCTCACATCTTGACTCCCTGATCGTAGTGTGCACAATAGCGGTTGTGTCACTTCAGGAACAATACGTGCGACTCCGTCGCACAATCCGGCCAACTGTGGATCTGCAAATCTGACACTTATGCAAACCGGCCTGTAAATCGGCCACCAAATCTGTCAGATTTCAATACCTTGTAAATGTGGCTGGATGGTGGTCGGTTTACCATTCGGTCGACTTTGGCGAAAAAAGGAGTCGACCAAAAGGGCGACAAATTTGCAGCCACATCACATTGTAGCGGATCTGACGCACCCTAATACCCCAGAGCAGGTGGGTGAGGGGGCTTTGGATTCAGGGCTCAATCCCGTGCGCACACCCAGCCCAAGCGGATAAATTCAGTAAGCAAGGTTGTTGCTTCTCGAACAACAGTCGTTTTTCTCCACATGCGCCCCAGTCGGTTTTAATTCACTGTTTTTGAGGCGCACGAGCGCGTCCTTGAGTCGACTCACAGGCATTGCACAGGGATCGCGCAGACATCGCACACGCATCGCATAGGAACCGCACAGAGATCAGTCGAGAAGGGAGCGGCTGCTAAAAAAGTCGCACGAGCGGTTGCTGCGATGGCGCGGCGACGGCGCGCGGCGGGCGCGCGGGGAGGGGCAGCGACGCGCGGGGCAGGGAGGGGGTTCCCCTCTCTCGCGCGCGCTGCTGCTGCCTTTCGCCGCCATGTCACATCTCGCCGCGCTACGCTCCAATTTTCCCCACCCCTCCCACAGCCTTACCTCGCTTCCGCGAGCCGCGGCCGTTCCTAGCACCCTTCTCTTCCCACTCCCTCCTCCGCCCCGCGGCGTGCGTTATATCGCGTACGCCGCCATGACTGCGCGATCGAAACTCGGCGCGCTGTGCCGTCCACTACTGGCAAGCGCGTCGCTTCGTCTGCTGCCCACAAGTGCCGCCGGGGCGCCGACTCTTTAGCGGCGCCGTTGTAGGCGCGGTTATGGCGGGGATAGGCGGCACACCCGTACCGATTGGTTGAGAGGAAAAAAACCACCCCTCTTAGATACCACCACCGCGCCTCCCACTCCCTCTCCCACCACCAGCACCACCCCCACCACTCCCACCAGCAACAGCAGCGAAGGGGTCTGGCGGCCGGACCATCTAGAATCAACCTAGCAGCCGCGCCGTCCGCCGTTGCGCGGGCCGCTGAACCGTCCAACTTCAACGTGCTGGAAGGGGCGGCGGAGAGCAGCGGACGCGTGTTCATCACCGCGTGAGTGCCTCTCCCCCCGCGCTCCCCCTGCCCTCTGCACCCCCGTTCGCTCTCTTCCCCCCTTTCTTCCCTGTTCTCCGCGCTCTCCTCCCCTGTCGCGCTCCCCCCATTCCGCTCGCTCCTAAGATCAGCGGAGCAAACACTTATTTATTACCCGCCCCTTCCACTCCCCTCGGTCTTCCCTCCCTCGCTCCCTCCCTCCCTCCTCCCCATTCCTTTCCCCCCTCCTCCCACCTTCGCTCCTGCTCCCTTACACCTTTCATTCCGTCTGCTACATAGCCCTTGTTACACTGCCGGTGTCACCCCCCCGCCACAGCCGCTGTGGCAGAGACACGAGCGTCGCAGTCGTGTGCGCTGAGACATGCACGAGACACATCAACTCCACTCGTGCAGCACAGTGCCTACCCACTGTTGCCATGCCGTGCCATGCCGTGCCATGCTGTGCAAGCCTGACCAATCCCATATCCTCTTCTTCCATACACCCACTGCACCCACTGCACCCACTGCACCCACTGCACCCACTGCACCCACTGCACCCATTGCACCCACTGCGCCCACTGCGCCCACTGCACCCACTGCGCCCATTGCACCCACTGCGCCCATTGCACCCACTGCACCCACTGCACCCACTGCACCCACTGCACCCACTGCACCCACTGCACCCACTGCGCCCACTGCACCCACTGCGCCCATTGCACCCACTGCGCCCATTGCACCCACTGCGCCCATTGCACCCACTGCGCCCATTGCACCCACTGCATCCCCTGCACCCACTGCGCCCATTGTACCCATTGCCCACGCCCGCTGCAGGTACGACGACAAGGGCTTCACGGTGGGCGGCAGAGACCTGGACTCCTCCATCCTCTGTGTGGGTGACGTGGCGCTCTGCTGGTCGCCCTCCTGCCTCGCTGACGTCACCCCCGACAGGTGAGGGGAGAGGGGCGAGTGCGAAGAGAAGGGGGGGGTTTAGATGGGTGAGGGGGGTGAGAGGGATGGGAGGGGGGAGAGGGGTGAGGGTTCAGGGTTGAGGGGGGGGAGGGGTGTGGTTGCAGTTGTAACCGCAGAGCTGTCACGGCTGCTGGTGCTGGTCAATCTTCCATTCCATGGCACTCCTTCTTCCCTTCATACGTTTGCTGCACTCATGACGTCTCGGCACATGGCAGGTCTGCCTTCCTTTCTGCGTCCTCCTCCATCCTCTCGCGTCGCGCCACTTGCCTCTCTCTTCCTCGCATGCCCTTACCGCCTCCGTCCTCCTCTTTCTCTACCAGCCTGCCACAATGTGTTTTGGCCCTCCTCACCCCCTCGCTTCACTCGTCTCTATCCGTCCCTTCCTGCCCTGCCACCACCTCGTTCTCACCTCGTTCTCACCTCGTTCTCACCTCGTTCTCACCTCGTTCTCACCTCGTTCTCACCTCTTTCTCACCTCTTTCTCACCTCGTTCTCACCTCTTTCTCACCTCTTTCTCACCTCTTTCTCACCTCGTTCTCACCTCTTTCTCACCTCTTTCTCACCTCTTTCTCACCTCGTTCTCACCTCTTTCTCACCTCTTTCTCACCTCTTTCTCACCTCTTCTCACCTCTTTCTCACCTCTTTCTCACCTCTTTCTCACCTCTTTCTCATACGCCAAACAATCGGCGTGGTCTCCGCTTAAGCCTTCCGTCCATTCTCCCCATTTTCCTGTGGCTTATCTGTGAGTTCCACCAGTTCTTCCCAATTTCCCTCCCAGGCTTGCAGTTTCGCCTTTACCTGCCACCCTCTCTCCCATACTTTCTCCTTACCTCCACCTCACTCCCTGCCCCTCTCTACCCCCTCTTCATCCCCTCCACTCCCCTCCCTTCTTTTTGTCCCCCTTGTCACCCCTGCCTGTCCCTTCCACACAGCCTGGCTCTCTTTCAGCTCATTCGCCAGCAGCCAGGTATGCTCTTTTGAATGCCAGGCTGCTGTGAATGCCCTGTGCTACTTGCAGCGTTGCTCGTTGGGCTTTCTCTTGAAGAGGGCGTGCTGAGTGTGTGGTGTGTTGTGAATGCTGTGATGCTGCCTTGTAGGGCATGCGTGTCTGAGCTTCAAAAGGTGAGGCATGGGAGGCATGGCATGGGCATGGCATGGCATGGCATGGCATGGCATGGGAGGCGAGGCATGGCATGGCATGGCATGGCATGGCATAGCATGGCATAGCATGGCATGGCATAGCATGGCATGGCATGGCATGGCATGGCATAGCATGGCATGGCATGGCATGGCATGGCATGGCATGGCATAGCATGGCATGGCATAGCATGGCATGGCATAGCATGGCATGGCATGGCATGGCATGGCATGGCATAGCATGGCATGGCATAGCATGGCATGGCATGGCATAGCATGGCATGGCATGGGCAAGGCGGAGAAAGCAACCATTTCCTCCCTTCCCCTCTTCTCCTCTCCTTTCCTCACCTCTCCTCTCCCTCCTCTCCTCTCCTCTATTCTTAGTGGGAATATAAGCTTATTGCGTATATAAGCTTATCTTATATACGCACTCGTATATACGCTAAACGCTTTCGGGCCGGGTTTGGGAATACGCTTTTCCGGGCAGAAAAAAAACTTCCCGGGCAGGGTCAAAAAAACCCTGGGAAGGGGGGGGGGGGGGGTATGGGGCAGGGGTTTGGGGTCTGAAATTTCAGAGTACATTTTTTTCCCACTAAGTCACATACACCAAGGCCTGCACATAACTTTCCCCTACTCTCTAACTCTCTTACCACTACCATCACTACAATGGTACACTACACCATCACGACCATCACTTATATCCTGGACTCTCTAGGTACTACTCCTTAGGCCTGGCCGCCCACTGCAATGCAAGCCACATATGCCCCCTCTACTTAGCGTACTCGTCTTCGAGGATGTCGTCGTCGCTTTCCTCCTCATCCTCTCCCTTCGCCTCGTCTTCCAGCCCATTGTATCCCGCCGGGATTGGAGGCTCCGCTCCTATCCCGGCCACCACATGTGGCAGGACATCGGCGCGCGTGTGCCAGTTGCGCACAACATTCCAGTTGTGCGTAACATAGACCAAGTCCCTGCACTTGGCGGATCCGAGCCTGTTCCGACGTGCGGTGTGGACGACATCCCAAGATGACCATCCACGCTCACAAGGTGAGGCGGACACGGGCTGAGACAGCACCCGTACCGCGAGCCCCGCCACACGTGGAGCATCGGTCCCATTCCACTGCCACCACTTCACCATGCTATACTTCCCCTCTTTCACCAGCTTCCTCTGTGCCACGGCTTCCGGCATCCCAAAAAAACCCTTCATGTCAAGAAACGCCCTCAGCCCGTCCCCCAGCTCAAGCAAGATGCTGCAAGCGTCATCCCCCCCATCCCCGCGGCTCGCAAGGAACTCGGCGTACTGGCTGATGAACGCCTTGAAGACCTTCGTGCACTCGAGATCAGTGCCGAAGATATCTTCCTCCTGATTGGCGGGGTTGAGGATGCGGCCAGCGACATGCATGGCGCATGCGAGGCTGCCGTCCCAGCGGTCTCTGAGGATCTTGCGGATCTGGTCCTTATCCGCGTTGCTCAGCTGCTCCTCGTCCGCATCGAGTAAGTCCCCCACGTCCTCAGTCAACTGAAGCATAACATCGTATATCCTCCCCATCATCCCCACGGCATGCCCGTCCGTCTGCCTCATCGCCTTATAGGGCAGCTTCAGGAGGGCAGTGAAGAAGTCGGCCGTCTTCCACCAGGCGGCATCATGGATCAGCGCAGCAAACGCGTCGCATGATTTCTTCCGGTCCCCTACCGCCCACTCCTTCCACCCCTCGCTCGTCACCATGTTGGTGAGGCTGCCGCGCATCGCACACAGCCGGGAGATGGAGATGTAGTTCGTCCCGAACCTCGTTCCAGACGGCTTCAGCGCTTCCAGAACCTTCCCCTCCACCAATTCCGGCGTGCGCAGGTACCCGCGGGTCCAATGGTGGTTGCGGACGAAGCTGCTAATCTCCCCTCCCTTGTCGACCACCGGCTTAGCCCACCCCATCTTCCCCACGTCTTCCAGGAGAAGATCCATCACATGGGTGGCGCACGGCACGTCTTGAATGTGCGGCCACTCCTGAATCAGTTGTTTCACCGCCACCGCGTAGTTCGATCCCCCATCCATGCAGAACGCCACAACGTTCTCTGGCCCCACTTCCTCCACCACGGGCCTGAGAATCCCCGCCACGTAACCACCCGTTTTCTTCTCCATGTTGCAGTCAACACAGTCGTAGAAGACGGCGCCCGAATCATTGACGAGAAGAATGTTGGCCTGCGGCCTGCCCCTGCGGTCCGTCATCATGTCGGACGACACCGTCACGCCCGTCCGCTTCCAGCTCGTTTTGACGCCCACCAAACCCGCCTCGATGCCGTTGCGACACGCTACAAGGCCAGCACCGCCGACGTATTTCCGCTTGGGGGGGACGTAGTCTTTCCCGGCGCGGGAGACGTTGTTCAATGCGTTGACCATCAGAGGATGGTCAATGTGGCGCTCGGGGATGTGGAGGGCGGCCCAAGCAAGCGCAAGTGACTCGTCCGCTTCTCGCTTTCGTGCAGCCGTATCCCCCTCGAGGTAATCGGTGATTCGCGCGCGCTTCCCACCGTCAGCCGTCACCGCGGCAACCGCGGCAGCAGCGGCCCGCCTCCTTTCGTCGGCCGCAGCAGTCTTTGCCTCGTAATGCGCTTTCATGGCCCGACGCACATCTTGCGGCACATCCTTGCACAGCACCACTTCACGGCGTTTCATGCCCTTCCACGACGCGAAGTGTTGCGCGCATCGGATGGCAGCACCGGTGTAGAGGTTGCTGCAGAACTTGCACTCGTACTGCTGGGCTTTACCCTCGACCCGCTTGACGATGCGGAAATGCTTGAAGACGACATGGTCGACGTCGGGGAGATACTCCCGTGCCTCGGTTAGAAGAGTCTGCGAGCTGCCAACGGTGTTAACTGACGGTGCCGTGGGAGGAGAAGTGGTAGTAGTCGACATAGGCACCAGGCGCTAGGGAATGCCCAGTGCTCTGCTGGTAGCGGGAGAAGACCTAATGAGTTGGATGTTGGGGGTGTGCGTGTTTAATAGCGAGTAGATTGGGGGAGTTGGAAGATGGGCAACTGAAGTTGGAATCGCAATTGGTTGTGAAGGTTTTGAATGCGGTGCTGACTGTGACCACCAAAATGTGAGGGAACGTGCAAGCGCGACTCGACGTACGTGACTTTCCATTCGCGGCTCAAACTTTCAACCCACGTCCACGCTAGCACACAGCGCGGACGTGACATTTGACCCCGCCAATGTGTTCGTCGTGCAATTCCGAAGCGAACCGTATAGGTTGAATTTTTTTGGCCGGGCTGCCCCTAAAAAAATTTGGCTAGCGTATAGCGTATTCGCTAGCGTTTTGCGTATTGCGTATAAACGCTAGCGTGTATACGCTAAACGCAAACAGTTCTGAGCGTATTTTCCCACTAAGCCTCTATTCCCCTCTCCCTCCCCTTTCTCTTCCTCTTCTTTTCTCTCCTCTCCTCTTCTCTCCTCCTTCAATCTCCCTTTCTCTTTCCCCTTTCCATCTCTTGTCCCCTTCACTCCACCCCTCTCCTCTCCTCTCCCCTCCTCGTCTCGCCCTTGGATTCCCTTTCCCCTCCCCCCCCCCCCCCATTACCCAACCCCCTCTCTCTGTGCAGAGCTACTGCTACGGGGCACGGGGCGGCACATGCAGGCAGTGCAGAGGATCTTTTGAGGCGCCTAAAAAAGCGTCTTCCCCGCCCGCCTCCCGTTCCCCACCACCACCCCTCCTGCACAGAGCTACTGCTACTGGGCACGGGGCAGCGCATGCAGGCAGTGCCGGGGGAACTGAGGCACTTCGTGAGGGCGTGTGGCATGAAGCTCGAAGTGCTCTCCACTGTGAGTGCTGTGTGCTCCGTGAGTGCTCCATGTTCGGTAAATGCCTGTGGTACAGCTGGTGATGCTGGTATCACTGAAAGTGCTGCGGGTGCTGGCAGTGCAGTGCAGCACCAGGGGAGCTGAGAGAGTTCATGAGGGCGTGTGGCATGAAGCTCAAAGTGCTTTCAATTGTGACTTTTTTTGTTACTTGTTGTAACGCTCGCGGTGCTGGTGGGTTTGGGTTTGTGGCATGAGATTGGATGGGGAATACTCTTTCATACACCAACGAATCCTTAATTATGAACTCCCGTCTTACACATCTAACAACATTGATGCAACACTTCATCTCCTTTCACCGCTCAGCACCACTCTCTCACCGCTCAGCACCACTCCTATCACCACTCAGCTCCACTCCTATCACCGCTCAGCACGTCTCTCTCACCGCTCAGCACCACTCCCATCACCGTTCAGCACCAGTCCTATCACCGCTCGGCACCGCTCCTTTCACGCTCAGCGCCACTCCTATCACTGCACCACTCCCATCACCGCTCTGCACCACTCTTATCACCGCTCAGCACCACTCCTATCACCGTTCAGCACCACTCCCATCACCGCTCTGCACCACTCTTATCACCGCTCAGCACCACTCGTATCACCGCTCAGCACCACTCCCATCACCGCTCTGCACCACTCTTATCACCGCTCAGCACCACTCGTATCACCGCTCAGCACCACTCCCATCACCGCTCCGCACCACTCTTATCACCGCTCAGCACCACTCCTATCACCGCTCAGCACCACTCCCATCACCGCTCTGCACCACTCTTATCACCGCTCAGCACCACTCTTATCACTGCTCAGCATCACTCCAATCTGGACGCTGAAAACAAAGCTGAAAGCTGGAAAAAAAAAAAAAATACAAAGAGATGAAAGTCTGAATTTTAAGCCGGAAGCTGAAAGAAGAGCAAAAATGAAATATGACAGCTAGAATGTGAAAGCTGAATTGAATGAAATCTGAAAGCTGCAACAAAAGCTGAAAGCTGAAATGAAATCTGAAAGCATAAATGAAATATGAAAGCAGGAATTAAGTCTCAAAGCTGGACTGAAATTTGAGAGTGGAAAGCGGACTCGAAACCAAATCCGAAACTGAAAGGTGAGACTGAAATGAAAGCTGAAAGCTGAAATGAGAGCAGCAATGAAATCTGAAATGAAAGCTGAAAGCCGAACGAGAGCTGCAATGAAATCTGAAAAATGAAATGGAAGCTGAAAGCTGAAATGAAAGATGGAAGCTCATATTTACAGGTGCACTGAAAAAGTGCAAGATCTTCCTGGCGAAAGTGGACACGGAAAGTGAATCATGCAGTGGGGACGAAAAAGTCGGGTGGCCTCCGAATTCGGCCTGACGTCCGAGGCCCAGGCGGAACCTCCACCACGTCGCTGTTGGTGGACTTCTCGGCGTCTCCCCCTTCGTCATGAATAGAGAGAGCTTACAGAAAAAGCAACGACGAAATTGCATAGCCTCTTGCTGGCGAGAGCGCAGCAGAGCAGAGCACATGAAGCGCCATAAGTGTCAGTGTTATCCTCGTGCTGCTCTCTGGCAGTGAGGCCCTCTTCCCGGAACACAACTGGCGGGTGATCGCGATCAACCTTGGTGTTGGTGAGATGGTCGCTAGTTTTGGTGTTAGACAACCCAGGGGTGTGGAACCATTCAACCTCACGGGCATCCAGCCGCTCTGCCTCCTTTTCTACCTCATCCTCTGCCTCTTCCTCTGATTCTTCATCTGATTCTTCCTCTGATTCTTCTTCTGTCTCGGAATCTGATTCTTCTTCTGTCTCGGAATCATCAGAGCCAGTTTCTGTATTCTTCTCCTCCCTTTGGGGGATGATAGCAGCGTCGTCCAGTTGGGAGGGTGGTTGATGCAGAAGGTGGAAGATTCGAAACCAGATAGGCGCTGGCAGCATCTCGACTGCATCAGGGGGGTTGTTGACTGCAGCATGAACCGAAAGGGAGGAAAAGCGGCTTTATCAAGACTTAACGAGACTGGCAAAAATGGGTTCACTTAAGCCTAAAAAAGAAAAATGGCGGAAAAGGGAGCTTCAACATGCACGGACCTGAAGCCTCCATCGTCTCAGCGATTCGGTTGGAGAAATTGATGGGAGAGAGCAGCGAGGGTGTAGATTTCGTGCTGGCCTTAGGCTTGATGGAGAGACTGGCACTGGCGGAAAGGACTCGGGAGGACTAGGGATAGTTGCTGCACGTATCAGAGAGGGCTAGGCACAGGAAAGACGTCAGAAGGCGAAAGCTGCTAACTCCTCAGCAAAAGTCAGTGAGCGTCAGTGAGCGTTAGTGAACGTCAGTGAATGTCAGTGAGCATCAGTGAATGTCAATGAGCGTCAGTGAGCGTCGGCATGATGGCGTTTTCCCATGTCCCGCTCGGTACCAGTGATAAGCCTTCCCTTGCTCCTTTCACAGAATATCAGAACCAAGCAAGCCACTCAAGATAGCCCTGCTTAGCCTCTGCATGATACCAAGATGCAGAGCTACGTTGCCCATTCAGTGAAACTCCCTGGTGCAAGAGCCCAGGAAATTCCCTAAGCAATGCTGCTTCACAGCAATCCTGGAGTTCTACACCCAGGCGGCACTTGAAGTCTGCAACAGCGTTAGACGCTGACCAATGGTAACGCCTAGACACAGAGGGAACGAATCCTGGACACCCTCTGGTAAGCCCTCTCGTACGTGGCCGGGACCACCGCCAGCACGACACGCACGCAGCCGGGACCATGTATGCCGAAACGGGGCTGTCGATCGATACCCTAGGTTCCTCCGTCGCGTCAGGATCTGCCACGCTGGTTCAGGACACATTTCACGTCGATAATTGCTGCTCGTTGGTTTTGGGATGTTCATACGGCTACAGTAGCCCCAACCTGTCGTGTAGTGCGGCCCGCGGGCAAGAAAAAACGAAACATTTTTCCTTGTTACTAGGACACTTGTTTCCGCGAACCCCCTCGTGAACGCTGGCAGCGGGAGGGGAGCGAGAAGGCACTAGCAATGGGATGAGAAACAGCGACGCCCCAATTGACGCTGGCGAACCAGTTATCCGTTAGGCAGTCAAGCACAGTGGAGTTCCCGAGGAGGAGCCACAAGGTACGAAATGCTCATCCGTACGAATTTCCGCCGCCTGCCCTGCTTCTCCCCGACAGCTCTACCTGGAAACTCTCGCTTCTGCTCAAATTTGGTTGTGCCAGAGTGCTAGCTACCGACATGGCCTGCTGAGAACTGCGTGAATCTCGTTACGCGACAGCCATGCTGGAGCTGGAGATCCCAAGCGCGAAAAGGTCAGCTCAGGAGTCAGAATGTGTCCCTGTACGCGATAGAAAGTTGAGAACTTTGCTCCCAGAACGGGTTTCCACCGATTGTTCTGTTGGTAAGTATTAATTTATATCCAGATTGCTAACCTCAAAGTTAGACTCATTCATGAAACAAGATCTTAGTGTAACTGGTAAAATATAATATCATAAATCCTGCGTATGTTACCACGTCCAAAGCCTCACCCAGTAACATGCTATTTCCTGGTTAAACCAAACAAAAAGTGCAAGTTACCCATACATGGCAGGTAGTGAATATTAGAAGCATCCTTTCTACTGGTACTGCACCACGTACATCTGGTCCTCCCCAGCACAGTACCCCTCCACCAGCTTCCTTTTCACACTGTGCATCTTCTCCCTCACATTCTTGGCCCGCTTCCCCTCTTCTTCATCCCACACCCCACTCTTCTCGCTCCTCACATGCTCGAGTGGCCCATTGCTCACTGTCTTGCCTTTCCTGTGCCAGTAGAAGGAGCGGTCCACCACACAGTAGAGCGCCAGGGCGGGGTAGTCCTGCCGCAGTGCAGCCAGTGCAGGCGCATTACACGCCTTGCGGGTGGGGAAGAAGAGGAACCGCAGATTCGGAGCGCAGATGGGCGGCGGCTTGGGGAAGGCCTTCTTCATCCGCCGCCGAGCCCTCATCCTGGCTTTAATTGCTGGACCATACATTTGCCATGCGAGGCGGTAATACTCATCCCCACCAACACCATCATCGTCATCATTATCATCCTCATCATCATCGGCAGCATCATCAAACATCCATTCATCCTCATGCAATTCCTCATCCGGCTCTTCGCTCAAATAACCGGGGTCATCTTCCCAAGAAAACCGCAACCTGCCATCGTCTAAATGCTCCTCACACTCACCACCATTTGTGACCATTCTTATGTTCCAGCTGTTCGCACGAGCATCTTTGTCCCACGGTGGCAGGACAATCCCAAGGCTCCGCAGCCTCCCCCACTCTGCATCCACCTTCTGTAAAGACACACCGTGCCTCACAATAAGCACCTCCACCGTTGGAGCTATAGCGCCAAGCAATTCGGTCCAGGAGAAACCATCTTGATCCTTGCCAGGACCGTCCAAGTAGGCAACCCTGGCGGATGCGAGGCGGAGGGAGGAGATGACGAGGCGCTCCTGGCCGTACAGCGAGAGGTGGTGGAGAGCGAGAGGGGCGGTGCTCTTGCAGGAGAGCACGAGCCACTTGGCCATCACTGATAGGCTCTCGAGCGAGGGCGGCACGGTGAGGGTGAGCTGTAGCTCAGTCTTGGCAAAGCAGAAGCGGAGGAGGCGGGCGTTGGAGAAGGAGAAGGCGAGGCTGATGGGGGGCAAGGTGGAACCTCCTACGGCGTCACGGAGGCGAGAGATGTTGCCGTCCTCGTAGAGCGTAAACTCGTGCAGCTGTGGCGTGATGGTCCCGAGAAACTGGAAGCTCAAGCTCTCGAAATCCGCATGCTCCAGGGTCAGCTTGCAAATCGACTTGAGCCATGCCGCTATTGTAAGTGCGTGGGGTGGGAAAACGTGGAAGAATGGGAGATTTGAGGCAGCTGAGGTGTGAAAGCTGGCTTCATGACACACCTGGTGCTCAGCATCGCCAGCACAAGCACACACAGCAGGTGCATATATTCTAGGTCCTTGCTGCCAACGACTGTGGAGACATCATCCATCCCCATGCACGAGTGAAAGACAAGTGAAAGCTAAAGGCTGAAAGCTGAAAGGTGAAGTGAAAGCTGAAAGCTGGAAGCTGAGATGAAATCTGAAAGCTGAAGGATAAAATGGAAGCTGAGAGATGAAATGGAAGCTGAAAGATGAAATGGAAGCTGAAAGATGAAATGGAAGCTGAAAGATGAAATGGAATCTGAAAGATGAAATGGAAGCTGAAAGATGAAATGGAAGCTGAAAGTTGAAATGGAAGCTGAAAGTTGAAATGAAATCTGAAAGCTAAAATGAAATGTGAAGGCTTGAATGAAATCTGAAAGCTGAATTTAAAACCTAAAGCTAAAATGAAATGTGAACGCAAGAATGAAATCTGAAAGCTGGAACGAATTCTGAAAGCTGAATTGAAATCTGAAAGCTAAAATGGAATCTGAAAGCTAAAATGAAATGTGAAATCCAGAATGAAATGTGAAAGCCGGAATAAAATCTGAAAGCCGAAATGAATCTTCAAGCTCAATTGAAATCTGAAAGGTGAAAAAGAAGTTGGAGGGTGATATTCACGGGTGCACTGCATAGGTGGTCAAGCTGACAGGTCGATGAAAGCTGGACGAGAACGGGCAAGATCTACCAGGAAAAAGCGGAAAGAGGGAACTTTGTGAAGGCGAAACACAAGTAGAGAGCGCTTATAGAGAAAGCAACGACAAGTTTGAAAAGCCTCTTGCTGGCGAGGGCGCAGCAGAGCAGAGCCCATGATGCGCCATAGGTGGAAGAATTCTTCTCATGCTGCTCACTGGCAGTGAGGCCCTCTTTCAAGAACACAACTGGTGGCTTGCGATCAACCCTGGTGTTGATGAGATGGTCACCGGTTCCGGTTCCCCTCTGCGTGCTCCTTGCAGGGTCGCCCTGCCAGTCCCAGGCAGTGAGCCCTGCGCTGCTTCCAGAGTGGCCCGGCAAGCCAAATTCAGCTTAAAACATTTGGAGAGCGCGCACTGCGCTGCTTGCAGGGTGGCCCACCTGGCCCCAGGCAGTGAGCCCTGTGCTGTTTGCAGGGAGGCCCAGCTGGGCAGTGAGCCCTGTGCTGTTTGCAGGGAGGCCCAGCTGGGCAGTGAGCCCTGTGCTGCTTGCAGGGAGGCCCAGCTGGGCAGTGATCCCTGTGCTGTTTGCAGGGAGGCCCAGCTGGGCAGTGATCCCTGTGCTGTTTGCAGGGAGGCCCAGCTGGGCAGTGACCCCTGTGCTGCATGCAGGTTGGCTCGGCTGGGAAGTAAGCCCTGTGATGTTTGCAGGGCGGCTCAGCTGGCCCAGCTGGGAAGTAAGCCCTGCGCTGCTTGCAGGCTGGCCCAGCTGGCCCCAGGCAGTGAGCCCGGCGCTGCTTGCAGGGTGGCCCCACGGTTGCCAGGCAGTGAACCCAGGAGTGCGGACCCATTCAGCCTCACGGGCAGCCAATCGCGCTGCCTTCGCAGCAGGATCCTCAGGGGCTTCCCTATGGGCGAGGACAGCAGGGTCGTCCGGTTGGGAGGGCGGTTGATGCAGAAGGCGGAAGATTCGAAACCAGATAGGCGCTGGCAGCATGCCGACTGCATCAGGGGGGTTGTTGGCTGCAGGACGAACCAAAAAGAAGAAGGGGAGAAGAGTGAGGGTGGGGGAAATCGGGAAAGAGAAAGAGACAAGCAGGAGGGAGTGGGAAGGAAGACTTAACGGGACTGGTTCGCTTTACGAAAGGTGGCGGAAAAACAAAACCTTAACCAGCACGGACCTGAAGCCTCCATCGTCTCAGCGATTTCGGTTACAGGGAATGAGCGGGCGAGAGCGGCGAGGGAGTATATCACGTGCTGGCCTTACTAGGCTTGATGGTGCGACTGGCACTGGCGGAAAGGACTCGAGAGGACTAGGGACATTTGCTGCACGTATCAAGCAGGACTAGGAACAGAAACGACGCTAAGCAAACTTCTAGGCTGAGATTTGTGGAATCCTCAGTGAGCGTCAGTGAGAGTCAGTGAGCGTCAGTGAGAGTCAGTGAGCGTCGGCATGATGGCACTTTTCGCTCCTTCCACTCAGGGAAGCCTTGCTCAGCCGCTGCAGGATACCAAGATACAGAGCTACCTGCTCATTCAGTGGCACTCTGTGCAAGATCCCAAGAGATTCGAGATGTTGAAACAACCCTAGAGTTTCACAACGAGGCAGCGCCGTCACCAATGGCGAGATCCGTTCACCCAGGGAATGAAACTTCCGGTCAACCCTTTCGTACGTGGCCGGGACCACACCCAGCACGGCACGCACGCAGCCAGGACCACGTATGCCGAAACGAAGCTGTCGATTGATACCCTAGGTTACTCTGTTGCGTCAGGCTATGCCAGGCTGGTTCAGAACGCATTTCACATCAGACACTCGAGCACTGAAATTCCCGAGGAGGAGCGAAAAGGTCCAAAATGTTCGTCCCTGCGGGTTCTCCCCCCTTGCCATAAAACATTGCGCCCCTCCGGCAGCGCTACCTGGGAACCCTCGCTTCTGCTCAATCTGGTTGCGCGAGAGCGCGCGCTGAGATGAGAACCGCGTTGATGCTCGCAATTTTGTGATGTGACAGCCATGTCGAGGCTAGAGTTCCCAAGGGTGGAATGGGATTGTCGCCTCAGGAATGTTTCGGCGTACGCGATAGAAAGTGGGTGCTAGGTGTGCATTGTGTAACTCGTTGCATACTGTGCCCGAATGAAACATAGTACATTAGTTCAAGTCCTCACACATACCAGGAAATACTAACCAGCTAGACACAGAAATCGAGCAAGACAAATCAACTCTGACAGAACTGCATTACTGACACGATTGAATGTGTAAAGCAAACAGAGGGACAAGATATCGCGCAAGCTATCGTACTCACGCCTGAAGGCTAATAAAAGGCACGTTCCTTCAATGTGAGTGCATACATCTCATCCTCCTCAGCACAGTACCCCTCCACCAGTGTCAAGTTCACACTATGCATCTTCTCCCTCACATTCTTTGCACGCTTCTCGCCACGACCGGTAGTCATCACCACCCCACTCTTGGTCCGTTGCACATGCTCGAGCGGCGCATTGCTCACAGGCACCCCTTTCCTGTGCCAGTAGAAGGAGCGGTCCACCACACAGTAGAGCGCCAGGGCGGGGTAGTCCTGCCGCAGTGCAGCCAGTGTGGCGGCGTCACTCGCCTTGCTGGATGGGAAGAACAGGAACCGAAGATTCGGAGCACCGATGGACGAAGGCTTGGCACAGGCCTTCGCCTCCTGCAGAATCTTGTGCCTGCTTCCGGTGGGGGCACCATAACGTGCTCGTGCCTGCTGATACCACTCATCCTCCTCGTCAGCATCACGAGTGTCCCAATCATGGTCATCCTCCTCCTCATCCTCTTCATCGTCGCAATATCCACCAATCACATCGTCCGTAAGGAACCTATAGTTATCCACAGTGGCCTCCCTGTCCCAAACATGCGTCCCCTTGGTGTGCACGACAATCCCAAGGCTGTGCAGCCTCGTCCACTCTGCATCCACCTTCTCTATAGGCACCCCGTGCCTCACTATAAGCACCTCCACTGTAGGCGCTATAGCGCCAAGCCATTCCGTCCAAAAGCTGTTCTCAGAGTCACTGTTGGGCCCATCCAAATAAGCAGCCCTGGTAAAACCCTCTTGGTCACTTGCAGGTCCGTCCAAGTAGGCAACCCTGGCGGATGCGAGGGGGAGGGAGGAGATAACAAGCTGCTCCTGGCCGTACAGCGAGAGGTGGTGGAGAGCGAGAGGGGCGGTGCTCTTGCAGTTGAGGCTAAGCTGTTTGGCCATCACTGACAGAGTCTTTAGAGCAGGCGAGACGGTGAGGGTGAGCTTGAGCTTGCTGTTGGCAAAGCGGAAGCGGAAGGAGAGGGCGAGTGTGTGGGAGGCAAGGCGGGGGCCAAAAATCAGGTCGCTCTCCTCGTAGAGTGTAAACTCGTGCAGCTGCGGCGAGATGGAGTCCAAAAACTGGAAGCTCACATTCTTGAACGCCACCCGCTCCAAGGTCAGACTGCGGAGAGACTTGAGCCATGCAGCATCTGCGCACTCCCCGTTCAGAACTCACATGCCCCACCCCAGATTCAACTCCTGCAGCTGGCCGCAAGGCCTGAGAAATCCCAGCGTCCAGTGCTCGTTCTGCTGCTCCTTGAAGTCAACCGTGCCTTGCAGCTCCAGGCGGAGGGACGAGAGGGAGGGGCTGCTGCGAGCGATGCAGGCGCCGAGAGTGGGGAGATGCTCGGGATTGGAGAAGCGGAGGTGAAGGGAGTGCAGGCCTGGGTGGGCAAGGAAGAAGCGGATGGTCCGCATCCACTGTGGGCGCTGGGCGTTGTACCTGAGCGAAATGGGGTGGCCCTCCTGTGATTTATGGGTGAACAAGAAAACATGAACAAGAAATAAAAGCTGGATGCAAGCTCAAGGCTGAAAGCTGACACTCACGGGTGGACTGCACTGCACCGATGGCTAACATGAAAGCCTGACTTTTTGGGAGTGAGCAAATGCAAGATTTGCTCAGCGAAACTGACACGAGAGAATTGTGAAGGAGAGACAAGTAGCGAGCACGAGCGCTTACAGAGAAGGCGATGACGAGATAGAGAAGCCTCTTGCTGGCGAGAGCACAGCAGAGCAGAGGCCACGAGGCACCAAAGGTGTGGGAGTTCTTCTCGTACTGCTCGCGGGCAGTCGGGCTCTCCCCAGTGCCGCCCTCCCCAGTGCCGCCCTCCTCAGATCCGCCCTCCTCAGATCCGCCCTCCTCAGATCCGCCCTCCTCAGATCCGCCCTCCTCAGATCCGCCCTCCTCAGATCCGCCCTCCTCAGATCCGCCCTCCTCACTGCCACCCTCGCACCGGGAATCCAGTATCTCGCAATCAATATCGAACCCGGTGAGATGGCCGCTGATTTCACTCCGCGTGCTGCCAGCAGGGTCGGCCCACTGCTCAGTGGCAGTGAGGCCGTCGTCACGTAACCCCAGTGGCTCGCAATCCACTGGGAAAAACTCGGTGAAATGGGCAGTGAGCTGGTCGCTGCTTCCTCCGCTCTGCGTGCTGCCAGCAGGGCCGCCTGACGGCTCACTGCCAGAAGACGGGGACATATAGATGCTGAACCGCTCAAGACCACGGGCACCCGTCCTCTCTATGATAGGCGCCTCAAAACTCACCCCAGCAGGGTCGCCCGACTGCTCACAGCCAGGGGGCGCATAGATGCTAAACAGCTCCTGATCACGGGCACCTGTCCGCTCTATGATAGGCGTCGCGAGACCGCGGGGAGTGTGCCTTTGGCCGCAGATCGCAGGATGGTCTGGGTGGGAGGGCGGCAGGTGCAGATGGTGGAAGATTCGCAGCCAGAGAGCGGCTGGCAGCATGTCGACTGCATCAGGAGAGGAGCTCGCTGAGGGATCATGAAACCGTGAGGGGGAGTAGCGGGGAGACATGCAAGGGGAAGAGGGTAGGATATTAAACGGGACTGGAAAAGGGATTAGATTCACCGTAAGTTAGGAAAAATGGCGGAAAATGAAATTTGGCAAGCACGAACCTGAGGCCTCCATGTCGTGAGCGCGAGATCCGGTTGCAGAGGCCGAGTGAGCCTTTACTGTGATGAACTCCGAAACCTCAAAAGTGGTTCTCTCACGCCCTGTCCACAATCGATTGGGAATTAGGCAGCACAATCGGTGCAACCGTGGTCCACTGCCAGATACCTGGCAGATGATTTCGGTATCTGGCAGACCGACGGAGCAGTGCTAGGTCAATACTGCTCATTCCGCCACCGTCCCAAGCCACTTGGTTCCACGTCGGGAAACGCTTGGAAACGGCGCGTGCAGCGAGAGTTTATCCACCTTGCTCCCGCCAATCTGGCCTTGAATCCGCCAGCCATGCTGGCGGGGTTATGTTTCCTTCCAGAGCTCTCGTACGCGTCAATACGAGGCATTCATGCAGCTGGAGTTGTCTGAATGTGAGCCATACGCGATAAGAAGGCTGGGCGTGCTGGCTGTATTGACGCCAAATACATCTGTGCATTCCGCAATTTGTTGTTCACCTCTCAGCACCGTACTATAGCTTACTGCAACACAAAATGCGTGAGATTCCATAAGGACGCGTCCGTACTGTACTTGTGCGAACCACGGATGCAAAGTCGGTTGTGTAACTCACTGTGAGCTGGTGAGCGAGTTGTCAAACGCTGTAATTCACTCGTCCAAATTTCGCAACGCGAAAGTGTAACCCAGACCCCAAACGGAATGCACGCATCTCGAAGTGAATGTGACTTGCACCAAACTTCCTACCCCGACACCAAGCAGGAACACCCCGTAGTAAGCACACCTGACTGACCACTCGGCTTCAGTGCTCCACCACGCATGCTCGTCCTTGTAGCGCCGCATTCCTTCCTCCAGTAGTACCCACAAAGGCCGTACTGCGTCCGCCAGAATGAAGGCGAACCAGCAGCGCAAGCCGCCAGGCAGCAGCGGCGCCGCGTTGCCGCAGAAGCGCTTCTACCGCGCTCGAGCGCACAGCAACCCCCTCAGCGACAATCTCTTTCCAGTGTAACCGTCTCTCCCATCCTCTACCGTCGGATTCAGGCGTATGGTGCTTTCAGCCGTTAGATCGAGTCCATCGCATTTGTCGCTGTCCTCCTCTACGTAAGCCGACAGCCGTTCGTGCCATAGGCTATTCGATGACTGCTGTCTGTCAGGTGGATCGCATCCGGAAAGAAATCATATGGGATGGAGTGTGTCGGGAGTATTGTGTGCTAGGAAATAATGTGAGGATAGAGTGTACGACGGGAAGAGCGCTCCGAGCTTGGCGGTTACCGTTGCCCTCCGGCCATTCCCTTGGCCAAGACGAACGAGAATTTCGGCAGCCTGGCTTAATTCGCCTTTCCGGCTCGTCCTCGTTAGGATTAGGGTCTGGTTAGGTTTAATCTGCGCATTGTCTGCCGTCAGGCAAGTGCTGGGATGATTCGCATTACACGAGGCTGCGTTAGGGTTTGAGGTCTGGGCGCATCAAACGCGGTCAAGCCCAGTTAAGAGTTTCACTGCTAACTCTCAGGCAGTGCTTCGCACAGAAACCACAATATGCTCGCCAGGGGTCCGGGGTCGGGGTTTATCTCGTGGGTTTTGCCCCGACAGGCAGACGTACAAACACGCGGGCAGCAATCCACCGGCACTCTCCAGCAACCTCTCACCTTGCCGTTTCGCACCTCTGCTTGCGCCCTTCTTGCCTCCCCTGCGTCCCTTCCCCTCCAATTCCGCCCTTTTTTTGGCAACCCACCCCCCCCCCCCCCCCCCCCCCCCTACTCCAATCCCCTCTTCCCCCTCCCCCTCCCCCCCCTCCACCCTCCCCTCCCCCCCTCCACCCCCCCCTCCCCCCCCCCTTTTTCCCCTACCTCTCCCCCGTGCGCCCCACGTGCAGCCCCGTGTGCCCCGCGGAGGTGGACTGGTCTGCGCACTTCCCCGCGTTCTTCCCCCCCACTCCTGCCGCAGCGCACCCACCTGCTGCTGCTGAGGGCGCAGCCAGTGATGCGGCTGGTGGCGCTGCTGCTGGTGGCTGTGCTGCTGCTGCAGCTGAGGGGGAGGGAGGTGCTTCAGCAGCACGAGATGGTGCGGATTGAGTCGTGGTGACTGACGGCATGGGTAGTGGGCGTTGGAGATGATGAAGCTAGGGAGTGGGCTGTGGTGAGGGCGGTGATGAGAGTGAGGGATTTGGGGACAAAGGGGCGAGGGAGAGTAGGGATGAGAGGGTACAGATTGTGGGATGTGGGTGCATGAGATGGGTGCGGTGGGGTAAGAGGTGAAAGGAATGGCTTTTCATTGATGCTCCTTCTCCTTCTGCTCGTGCGTTGCTTGCAGGAGCGGCACAGCAGCATGCCACAGCCGCTGCACCGACCAGCAGCACGGGGCAACCAATGGTCCGCTTTGCTGATGTCGGGTGTGGCTTTGGCGGCCTGCTAGGTGCGTTGGTGGTTTGTGCTACTGGACGTGCATGCTGGTCTCACCACTGCATGCATCTTCGCCCGCTTCTCCTTTGCTCCTCTCTCCCGCCTTTCTCTGCCAAGTGGCAAGTGCACCTCTCCTCTCCATCTCACTGCACCTTCACGTCGTCAGACCTCACTTTCGCACCACTCGCCCTTCGCTCCCTTACCATCTTCCCCACACTCGCTTGCTCTCTTCTCTACCCCCCCCTCCCCCCCCCCCCCCCCCCTTCTTCTTCGCCCCTCTCCCCCGCTCCCTCTCCCCTCCCCCGCTCCCGCTCCCCTCCCCCACCCCCTGTTTTGCCCGTTTGTTGCAGTTAAGCTGTCTCCCATGTTTCCCAATACACTCATGGTTGGCTTCGAGCTACGTGACAAAGTACGCTATCCAGCTGGCCGCCCGTTGTGTTGTTCACAATAGCCGCAGGCATAACGTTGACGTGTGATCTGTGTGTGTGTGGAAGATGGGGGTGGGTGAGTTGCGTGTGCGTGCGTGCATGCGTGTGTGTATGTGCATTCCATTATCCTTGCTTGCTCCTCTCACGTGCCATCTCCTTCACACTCTACACGCTTTCTCCCGTTTTGTCATGTCATCCCCCCTAACCCCCATGTGAGCGAGTACGTGAGTACGCCTCACAGCCCCACGTTCTGTTATCCCCCACTCCACCCCTTCCCCACAGGTGAGCGAGTATGTGAAGGACCGCATTCTTGCTCTCCGGCAGCAACACCCCTCCCAGGTACACCCCTCCCAGGTACACCCCTCCCAGGTACCCGCCTCCCTTTCGCGAATTCTCAAGAGTCATTCTGCCTCTCTCTCCCCCCTCTCCCCCTCTCCTGGCCACTGGTCATTTCCTTTCTCGCCTGCTAGCTCACCATTCCCTCTTTCCTCACCTTGCAACGCCTCACTTCTGTTTGTCCTGCGGATTCCATGCTCTTCTTGCTCAACCTTAATTCTTCTCATTTACTTGTCTCTCCGATTGTTATTGTCGGATGCACTCTTACTTTAAGCGACCTGTAAAATTACTCCCCTTCCTTTCTTGTTGCTTCCCCGCCATCTCTCCTCCACGTTCTGTGCCCTCATTCTGCTCTCCTCCACGTTCTGTGCCCTCATTCTGCTCTCCTCCACGTTCTGTGCCCTCATTCTTCTCTCCTCCACGTTCTATGCCCTCATTCTGCTCTCCTCCACGTTCTGTGCCCTCATTCTGCTCTCCTCCACGTTCTGTGCCCTCATTCTGCTCTCCTCCACATTCTGTGCCCTCATTCTGCTCTCCTCCACGTTCTGTGCCCTCATTCTGCTCTCCTCCACGTTCTGTGCCCTCATTCTGCTCTCCTCCACGTTCTGTGCCCTCATTCTGCTCTCCTCCACGTTCTGTGCCCTCATTCTGCTCTCCTCCACGTTCTGTGCCCTCATTCTGCTCTCCTCCACGTTCTGTGCCCTCATTCTGCTCTCCTCCACGTTCTGTGCCCTCATTCTGCTCTCCTCCACGTTCTTGTTAGAACTTAGGCTTAGAAGCGATACATTAGTAATGAGCTTGAAGCTCTTTAAGTACATCCAAAAAGGGGAGGGAATGGATGGGGAAGGGAATCGGGGGCAATCCCTAGGGATTGGGGGTAATCCCAAGGCAATCTCCAATTGGTGGGTTGGAGATTGCTTGGAGATTACATTAGGGTTTGGTTGGGATATAGGTGTACACCCAACCAAACACAATGTGCAAACTACACTACTCTAGGATATAGAAAATACAAAGTACAAAGTGTGAGATTGAAGGCTAACACTAACACCCTCCCATAGACATCAATCGAACTCAGGGTAGAGAGGGTGGAGCACAGAGTCCCATGGCGCCAAGGAGACGGTGGTGGGGAACTTTCCCAAGGGGCTTGATGAACAGATCAGCCAGGTTGCAGTCAGATGCAACGTATTCCACTTTCAGCTGCTCCAGTTGGACAAGGTCACGGATGAAGAAGTGCCGGAGTTCAATATGCTTGGTGCGGGTGTGATACACAGGGTCTTGAGAGATGTGGATGGTACTCTGGTTGTCACACCAGAGGGTGGGGGCGGCGGACTGTGGGAAACCAAGCTCCTGGAGTAGGAAGGTGAGCCAACGGGCCTCCTGAGCAGCCATGGTGCCAGCGTAGAGCTCTGCCTCACAGGAGGAGAGGGAGACTGCAGACGACCTGGTGGAGTGCCAACTGACAATTCCGCTCCCAAGGGTGAAGCAGTACCCCTGAGAGGAGCGTCGGCCGGTCTGGTCATCAGCCCAGGAGGAGTCGGTGTAACCTTCCAGGCGAGGAGGGGAGAGCCCACCGAGTGTGAGAACGTGAGACTTGGTGCCCTTAAGATAGCGCAGCACCCGCTTCGTCGCCTTCCAGTGAAGATCAGTGAAGCGTCCAGGGGCCACGTAGCGAGAGAGGACACTGACAGGATAGGCCAAGTCCGGTCGGGTGCACATCATGGCGTACATGAGGGACCCAACAAGCTCCGGGTATGGCTCAGAGCAGGCCTCTGGTGTGGGTACAGCTGGAGCTGTGAGGAGGTGTTGCAGCGGCAGCGGGGTGGCAACAGGTGTGCACAGCTCCATCTCAAAC